ACTCAGAAGGGCAATGCAGATAGTAGAGTGCAGTTTATTACACCAGTGGGCCCAAGGCAGAGTCTCCTCTTAGCCAAGGACGCCAACCAGTTTTTGTCAAAACCTTATATACCCTAAGTGTTTAAGGTTCCCTGAAACTAGGCTGAACAAAGGAAAAAGAAAGATACAATCAAAGTTAACCGGTGATCATATGCCTTAAGCCTAGGTAGTTAACAGTGGACAATTATCAATAGGCCTGTGGTCATACCCCAATAAGCATAATAGAATGTATGATTCTATTCGGTTACACAGATAATTAGGGTATTCTTTTAGGCGATGGAGAACCCTGGGGCTCTTCCTTCCAGGGGGGCCTGGTTTTCCAGTTGGTTTGTCATTTCCATAGACACTGGGCATATAGCTCAAAGTCCACAGGCCAGCCCAAGATGGAGTCCTGCTTTCAAGATAGAGCCTGTTCTGTTTCCTCCTTCAGTCAGATCTCATTTCCCACCTTATTTAGTTCATTTGTGGATCAAGTCCCCATGTCTCTGAAAGGCCATGGACTGCAGGGCTGCCCGATTGCTGTGGTGTGTCCACGTTCAGGGAATGCTCTCCAACGCATAGACTGGGACTGGAGGCCTGGCATCCTGGGTTGGGCCCAAGACACAGAGCCTCAGCCAGCTGCAGCTCCTCTCCCTGTGCCTTCCTTTGTTAGCATATCTGGCAGTCACAGCGCCTGTCACTCAGGCTGAATCCCTGCTCAAGAGCCCAGGCGTGTCCCCAGGAGACCCAGGGAGCTGGCAGGCCCCTCCCTCTCCAGCTGCCCTCCCCTCTGCCAGCCCCACCTCTGGGAGTCCTGGACTCAGTTGCTTTTCCTCATTCTGAAAAGTCTAGTTCACAATGACTTAAAAAAATTTTTTTTTTAAGTTCAAAACGTGCTTTCCGTGGAAGTGTGGAAGGGCTAGAACATAAGGTTAAGTACAGATAGCACAGGCTACGGAGTCAGGGAATTTAGGGCTCTGCCCCCCACAGAAGCTGTGCAACTGTGGGTAAGTTGCTTCATGTCTCTGGGGCTGTTCCCACATTTCCATATTTCCCCCATTTTAGGAGAAAGTAATCATAGTTCCTACTTCGGTGGGATGTATGAACACTAAAAGAGAAAATGCGTGTGAGAAAAGGACAGTCAAGCACACAGCAGGAACTTACTCATTCTTTAATGATAACAGTTAACACTTCCTCAGGTGTCTGTGTGCTGTCACTTTAGTTGTGTCCAAATTTGTGATCCTATGGACTGAAACCCACCAGGCTCCTCTGTCCACGGGATTCTCCAGGCAAGAATACTGGAGTGGGTTGACATGCCCTCCTCCAGGGGATCTTCCCTGACCCATGTCTCCTGCGTTGGCAGGGGGTTATTTTTCTTTTTTTTGGCAGGGGGTTCTTTACCACTAGCGCCACCACAGTCTTTTATAGTTCTCACGCAGCTGCCCGGCTCAAAAGGAGGACCCAGGAGGAAAGTCGGACCCAGGACTTCTGCTCTCACCTGGGAGGTCACAAGGTTTGAGGCTAAAGCCCTTGGCCGGGGCTCTGTCCGGGAGAAAGCCCCCCAAGCCCCGCCCTTGCGTGGGTCCGGCAAGTCCAGGCAAGAGCCGGCTTGAACCATGCGCCCCCTTGTGACCTGTCTCAGAAACAGCACCTCGGACAAGCTGAGACTCCCGGAAGCCGCATTCACCACTCACCCTGGAAGGGGCCACAAAATTGGATTAACGTGGTTTTAGAAACGCAAGGAAAAGATGGCCACACGTGCAAACATGGCTACCTTAACAGCAAGAGGAGATCACAGATGAGCACTTCTGGGGAGTGGGCTGTGTTCTATTTCTTGACCTCTGTGCCAGCCACATAGGTGCTTGGTAGGCTAAGCCCATTACATAGTGTTCATTTCTGTCTTGTGCACGCTTCTGTATATACGCTATACTTCACCCTGGCCTATGGCTTTGTTTGCTTGTTTGTCTGTCTTTTGGACTGCCATGCTGCCCGGCTTGTGGGATCTTAGTTTCCTGACCGGTGATCGAACCCGGTCCCAAAGCAGTGAAAGCACTTAACCACTGGACCACCAGGGAATAAGAATCTTATCCCTGGCATAAAATTTTTTTGTTTGTTTTTTAATAATCCAACAGGTGTGAGGAGGAGTTAATAGAAGTCAACTTTGCACAGTGCAAGTGTCTGGGGCTGACAGAGGAGTCCCAGAGGAGGCAGAGGCAGGGATCTGGGCTAAAGAGCTGCCACGTAGAGGCCCAAGGGGGTGACCTGAGGGGCCTTTAGCACAGCTGCGTGTTCAGAAGATGTCTGACCCGCAGGCGCCGGGCCTCTCCTTCAACTGGCCTCCCCCAGATTCCCACCAGGGAAGAGGTGCTGCTTCGAGCGGCTGACGGGAGCCTCTTGACCCAGGCTGTGCCATTTTAGGCGACACACTTCCTACACCCCAGCTGTTACCCTGCCCTGGGCTCCCAGCTCTGGCCCCTCAAAACTGCGCCTCTATTCAGAGGCTGGGCCGTGTGTGTCCCCCACTTCTGGGAGCAAAGGGGACCCCAGACCCTGGCTCTGCCAGGGGCTCTCGTGCTCTCAGGCTGCCTTGCCAGGCTGGGGCTGGAGCTGAGCTCCGGGGCCTGGCCGAGCTGTGCTGAGGGCAGGGGTGGTAGTGGCATTGCTGGGGCCAGGGTTCCAAGCTGGGCCAGGCTCTGGTCCCAAATGGAGTCGGTTGGCCCCAGGCCCCAGACTGTTTGGCGTTTTCCACAGGCTCATGCCAGCACCCAGGCAGCCTGGCAGTGGTGGCAGGCCCCGGCTTTCCCTCTGGCAGCGGCCAAGCTGGCAGCCGGGCTGTACCCCCACGGGGCCCTTCCTGGTCTTCCTGCCCGCCTCCTGCTGGGCCAAGCTTCCCTGGCGCCCAGCAGGGTGGGCCTTGTGTCTGGGTCTGTGCAGGGGGCCCTCAGCTCTCCCGGGTCTGAGGCAGAGGCCTTGGGCCCAGACTGGCATGAGGTGGGCAGACAGCAATGTGATGACTGGGGTAAGAGGGTCTGCTGCCCAGGCGTGTGTGGGTGAGCAGACGGTGGAGGCCTGTGGGCTGCCTGCCTTCAAACCCCAGCCCCATGCTTGGCTGTACGGTCTGGGCCCAGTCCCTTCTCTCTGCCTCTGTTTCCCCATCTGTAAAATGGGATAAGAAGTAGCTCCCTCATTTTAGAGGAGAGTGAAAAGACACAGGGAAGTGGGCTTTCTGCTCAAGCTTCCCAGCCAGAAGGAGCCTATGTGAACCAGGTCTGAATCTGAACCCAGCACCCAGGCTGCTGATCACAGGCCACTTAGCCACCCTCCATGAGCGGGCTAGGGAGGCGGTGCCTGCTGCCATGGGCTGAGCAGGTGGCCTGGCAGGAGAGTAGACTGCCACAGCTGCCCTGGGCTCTCGGGAGTGGTTGGGGCCAGGGACCAGCCCCGAACCTTCCCAGCCTCCAGGACTCCAAGTTACAGACGCCTGTCCCGGCAGGGCAGTAAGTGGGCCTGTGGGGTGCTGGGCTGGGGTGCCTGGCTGAGGGAATCGTGTTCACAGGGGGGTCTGTGGCGGGGAGGTGGGTGTCACGGGCATGGTCACACCACATGTGCACTCATGTGCACGTGCCCCAGGGGTGCCGGCCCTCATGTGTGGGGAGAGTGAGCAGCAAGGGTGCAGAGTGTGTGGGGGAGGCAGAGATGGGGTGCTGGGAGCACCACCAGTGAGGAGGACCTGGGAGAAGCCCACCCTCCATTGCGGTTGAGCCCAGCCCCCTTGTCATGGGCTCAGAGGCCTCACCCCAAAAAGCACCCCCGCCACCGTGGCCCACTCCTCACTGTAGCCCCTCTCCACGCCCCACCCTGCCAGGCTGCCTAGTGTAGCCGGCTGGACTCTGGACTCCTCAGCTTGAGATGCCAGGAGGGGCTGGCTGGGCAGGGGGCAGGCGAGCAGACAGAGAGTGGAGCCTTCAGGACTAAGGTCCAGGGACCCTGAGTCACCGCTGTCCCCCTCCAGCTCAGTGGGGGCCCACAGGAGGAAGGAGGGTTGGGGTCTAGACCCCCCATGCCTGGCATGTCTCAGACCTGCCAATCCCAGCCTCCAGGACTCAGCTCTCCACCAAGCCCCCTCCCTGGGCCCCAGCTCCAGGCTCATCCACCACAAGGAAACTTTCTTGCACCTCTGCATCCCCTGCAGCTTAAGCAGCTCCCCCGACCCAGATTTTCTCCCTAAAGTCAGAGTCAGTGCCGATGGAGCAGAGCAGGAGAGGGAGGTGAAGCTGGAGGCGGGGGCGCCTCATGCAGCGGATGGGCCCCTGCCGAGCCTTCGAGAAACTAAATTGGGCTGAGTGCATGTCACCCACCCCCATGTGTCACCGTCCCTCGGGAAAGGGAGGCTCAGGCCCACGCTTGCCAATCCAGGCTCAGCTGGGGGCAGAGACACTCCTGGTGTGGTCGCTGCCTGGTGTCTCCAGGATGAGATGGAGTGGACTCATCACGCACACGTCCGCTTGTGGGAGAGTGATGAGGTCCTGATGTGCTACCCTGTTCCTGGGCCACTTGCCCCTGTAACAAGGCCTCTTTGCTGTAACACACTAACTCATTCAGAGGGTCCCCTGCCAGCCACACCCACGTTTCTGGGCTTGGCTCCCCTCTCACCCCCAGCTGTGTTTGGGCTGGGCCTGGGGTGCCCACCTGCCCCTCGCCAACTGGCGGGGGAGCAGCTGAGCCTCCAAGCCTGTTGCCAGGGCCCCAGCCCCTGACAGGGGTGGAGGAGCCTCGGGGGGCTAGGTGGGGGCCTGTCCCGGCTGTCAGCACCTTTGATGGATGAGGGGTGGGGCAGGGAGGAGGCTGGGGCTGATAGCCTGCAGCAGCAGGAGGTGGGGGCTGGCCCCCTGGGGTCTGCCAGCCCTGCGGAGCCCCTGGCCCCCACCCAACAGGGGTGTTTAAAGGCCCACAGGGTGGTGCCCTCCCACTCTGCCGGCATCATGAGTGCCTGGGCCTTCCCTGCAGCCCTTCTCCTGCTCGGCCTGACCTCTGAAAGCCTGCAAGGCGGTGAGCACCGGTGGTGGGGCTGCCGGCCGGTCTGGGGGTGTCGGGGGAGCACTGGGCCCCAGAAACAGGGAGGGGAGGGTCTGTGAAGTCTGGGCTAGGGCAGGGTTTGGGAAGGCTGGGGGACAGACACCTGGGACCTGCCCCTTCTCTGTCCCCGGGGTCCCTGCCCTGAGTTGGCACCCGGCTTGCTCCACTAGGGCTCCCTCCATCGTCTCTGGGCCTGGGGAAAGGTAAGTGGACCCTCCAGACTCTGGGCTCAAGGAAGGGGGTCTGGTCTTTCCCTTGCAGGGGTCTGGGGGCTCTCTGGGGGAAGTCTCTGCTCTGGGATCCAGATCTGGGGGCCCCAGAGAAGACAAGGCAGGTGGCCTTTTTCATGTCAGCTCAAGTGTGAGAAACACAGTCACCCCGCACCCTTGGAGGGGAATTAAGAGAGTGCAGAACCTCAACTTGTGTGAGGAAAAGAAGCCAGAGGAGGAAGGGCCTGGAGGGGGTGGGGGTGGGGGCAGGTTGCAACAGGAAAGGGAAAGGACCTTGCCTGCCGCCAGCAGTGAAGTGAGGCAAAGGCCTGGAGGTGGGAAGGGGAGGCAGGAAACTCGGGTGAGCTAGGCGGGGTGTCCCTCCAGGGACCTGGGGCTCCCTCCTGAGAGCTGACACAGCTGAACTGCAGGAGAGCAAGACTGGGGGGCTGGGGGGACAAGGAGGATGGGCTTACAGGAGGGTGCTCAAGTAAGGACAGAGGTGAGGGGTGCAGAATACCAGGGATCCACCCCCAGGGGTGTGGCCCAGAGCCCTCCCTCCTCACCAGGGACCCTTCCGCTCCCTTCCACCAGTCTGCTCAGCCTGCAGTGACCCCGGAGGAGCCTGAGGCCGGGGTCGGGCGTGGGGGGGGGGGCACCCTCTCGCTTTGCAGGGAGCATGCAGACTCAGCTCCTTGCTGCCCCCTAAGTGCCCCCTCCTCCCAACCCCACAGTCTTAGGAGGCTCCAATGGCTATTGATCAGGTACAGCTGGTGGTGGGTGGGCAGGGGGCCCTCTGTGTCCTGGCAATGGGCACCCTCGCTCCTGGCCCCTCCTGCCCCACCCCCACTCACCTCCCCATTTCCCCCATAGGCTACGGCCCCCCCAGTGGTCTAGGAGCAGGTGAGGCATGGGAAATGGGATTTGGGTCTGGGGGAGGCAGCCATCTCAGAAACACTCGGGGACCCCCGTGCTGCTGCTCCCCCCAGAAACCCACCTGCCGCCCTTCCTGCAGTGTCTTCCTTGTCCTTTCCTCCTTCTCACCACCTCCCGCACCCCCCAGGAGTCCATCAAGAGTCTACCAAGGCCATTCTGGTGTCACATCACCCAGTACCCGCCTGAGGGTTCAACTCTTTCCTTCCTTGCATGTTCCCTGGTTGCCGGCAGAAGCCAGCTCCAGGGCGCACACCCTGGGCTCAGGGCGAGGCCCCTGGGGCGGCTCTGAGCAGAGGAAGGGAGGAAGGGGCCTGGGCTCGCAGGAGCTCCCCCCACCCGCACCCCCACGCCTTCCCCCTTCCTTGGAAGGGACACTGGAGCTGAGTCATCAGGCTCAGAACAGCTGAGGGGTGGGGGGTGTTTAGGGGCTCTCACCAGGTCTCCCCCAGGCTTCTGAAAGGGTATTACACTGCAGAAGCCAGGTGGCCCCGGCCCGGCCCCAGCTCTTCCCCCGTCTCCCTGTCTTTCTCTCCCACCCCTCACCTCGCTCTCTTCCCCCAGGGTTCGGGAATGGGCGCGGGCTGGGAGCCCAGCCAGGTGAGTGGAGGGTGGGGAGGGGGGCTGGGCTCCCAGGCCTTGGAAGGGAGGGCGGGATGGATGATTCCGGGGTGGGGGCCAGATAGGGAGCTGTCAGGTTTGCTGTTTCTGGTGGGGTCCAAGGTGCTGCACCCCCACCCTAAACCTACCCGGTTCATGGTTTACTCTCCCACAGGCCCTCCAGCTCAGAATGGCTATGGAACAGGTAGAGGTGGGGCCAGGATTCTCTGGGCAGCCCGGACACGGGGTGTCCCGAGAACCTCCCTTGACCCCGGTCTCCTTCTCAGGCATTGGAGGGGGCGCGAAGCCCCAGAAGCCGGGTGAGCCTCACCCTACCTGACCCTCCCGGCTCTGTGCCCATTTCTCCTCTCCTCCCTGATACCCGGCCCTGTCTCCCCAGGTGTCTCCCCAGGGTTTAGGAACGGGAACGGGCTGGGAGTCGGGACCCTCCTGGGTGCTGCTGCCCAGCCAGGTGAGGTGGGGGAAGGACGGGTGTGGATAGCAGAGAGGGGTGCGAGGGGTACAGCAGGTCACCCCTGGGAGGGGCTTCTCCCCGGCTCCCCCAGGGCAGGGGCAAGGTCCATAAAGGATCCTGTGGTCTAGTTTGGGGAACAGAGAACATGGAGTCGCCTCCCCTTCAGCTGGGACCCCAAATGCCCCCCTTTACCTCTCCCTCATGGAGTCCCAGGAAGAGGCTGGGTCCCTGGGTCCCCTCAACCACTGCCCCTCCCCCCAGGCTTTGGAAGGGGGCCGAAACTCCCGCAGCCTGGTGAGCCCCGCTCCCTGACGTGTGATGGCCCTCATTTCGCTTCCCGCCCCGCCCTGGCCCCTGCCCCCTCCACCCTTCCTCTCTGTCCCCAGGATACAGAAATGCGCTGGGAGCTGGTGCCTTCCCGGGGCTGGGAGCCCAGCCAGGTAAGGGCGCCTGGGGCACCGCCCTGGGGTCCAGGGATGGGGGAGGGAGCGCGCGGAGCTGGAATCGGGGAACCCGTCGGGGAGAGAGTAGTGTCGTGCGGGGCTACGGAGGCGCAGCCTGGGGTAGGGGGCGTGGAGCCTCCGCGGCCCGGGGAGCCCCGCCCCCGTCCCTGCGGTACCCCCACATCCCGGAGTGCGCCCCCACCTGCCCAGCCTCACTTCCTGTCCGCAGGATTCGGGGGTCGAAATGGTATCGGTGTTGGGGCTTTTCCCGGAGCAGGTGAGCGTGGGGGGCAGGGTTGCAGGGAGGGGCAGGCCAGGGGGGCCCAGGGTCTCGCCCCGCTCTTAGGGGAGGGGCTGGCTGGGTCAGCGTCGGCCTCTTTGTCTCTCCCCGGGGCTGGGGTGAGGTCCAGGCTCCCCGGCCCCTCTCTGGGCATAAGTCTCTGAGAACTATGCTGGGGGTGCCCCGCTCATGGGGTGAGGACACCCCCGGAGATGTGGGCCCACCTCCGGCAGCCCAGACCCCACCTCCCTCTTCTCGCAGGCCCCAGGGTTCAGAGTCGTCAGGGATGGAGCTGGGGATGATGGAGATGGGGGGGAGCTGGTGGGCGGGCTTGGGCTCGGGGTTCACCGGAGCTTCACCGCGTCTGGGTCTCTTTCTCAGGAATTGGAGGGGGCGTGAAGCCTCAGAAGCCAGGTGAGCCCCACCCTGTCCCTAGGTCCCTGCCCTCCCCCCCCCATTATCCCTCCCCCCTTACTCCCTCCTGCTCCGTCTCCGCAGGACTCAGCGCTGGGAATGGGCTGGGGGCTGGGGCCTTCCCCGGAGCTGGAGCCCAGCCAGGTGAGGGCGCCAGGGCCAAACTGGGGTGCTGGGGAGGAGGGGGGGGCTGGGGAGGGCAGAAAACTCGTTTATGGGGGAGAGTAGGGGCTGGGAGGGGTCCACGGGTATGAGGCTTGGGAAGGGGCGTGACACCTCAGCAACCAGGTGAGACAAAGACTCAGCCCCTGCCCCTCCCTGCCCTTGTCCCCACCCCAAGTCCTCCCCTGTGCCCCCATCCATGGCTCACAGAGGGTATTGGCTTGGCCTGGGGGCCGAGCCAGGGAGGGAGGCTAGGGCCCAGGTTGCTGGGGGAGGGAGGGGTCACCGCCGTGCCCCACTCTGGACTCCTAACAGGGGCCTCTTTGGGGTTCACTCCTTCCACCACCTTCCCGATTGCCTGCCTGAGCCCGGCCTTGACTGTGCACTGCAGACCCCATGCCCGTCAGCCTAGGGGCTGTAGGCCCGCTGGGCCGAGTGCCCAAGCCATGCAGACTGAGGTCAGGACTTGGCGGAGAACCCAGCAAGGGCGGAAAGCCAGAGGGCAGAGCCCAGGGCTGGAGGCCAAGGGGGGCGTGAACCTAGCTGGGGGACTCACCTCTGTGGTTTTAAGCTGGGAGTGAAAGAGCTGGTCTACCTGGAGCAGGAGAACTTGGGGAGGAGGCTGCTGGCATTGCAGGAGGGTGGGGGGGGTGCAGCAGTCAGAGTGGGATCAGTGTGGATAAGACCCCAGGAGTCTTCGGGGCCAGAAGGAGGAATGATGGATCTGGGGTTCCTGTCTCGGCCGCCACTGTCTCCCCAGCCCTTTTCCTGGCACAGGTCCCCACAGGGACCTCTCTTGTGAACTTACCGAGGCTGGATAGAAGAACTCGGGGGGATGTAAAGTAATTAGCCTCCAACTAATTAAAAAAAAAAAAAAGAAAAAAATTTCAAAGGAAAAAAAAATAAAGCACTTGTTAGTAGCAAAAAATAAAATAAAATAAATTTAAAAAAAAGAATTGGGGGGGAGGGCAGGGGTCTAGGGGAGGCCTTGGCAGGAGGCTGGGGCTCACCCCCAAGTCAGCATTGTCTGGATTTCCTATGTCCCCCCCCCCACAGGTCTTGCGGCTCCAAATGGCTTTGGACCAGGTAGAGAGGGGGCTGGGGGAGTTGAGGGGGGAGGCCCCGAGGGGGTGTTCCAGGGTCCCTCATCTGTGGGTCTCTACTCAGGCTTTGGAGGGGGCGGGAAACCCCAGAAGCCAGGTGAGTCCTGCTCTGCCCTGTCGGCTCTTGGTCAGTCTGTCTGTCTGTCCGTCCTCTATGTATCTGTGCTCCTTTCAAGCCCTGCCTCAGTCTCAGGCCCCTCGCTCCATCTCCCCAGGATTCGGGACCGGGGACGGCACCCAGCCAGGTGAGGCCCAGAGCTCTAGGGCTGCAGGGCTCACCCAGGGGGTGGTGGATGAAGGGGAGGGGGTTGACTCTGGCTCGCATGGAAGACGGGATCCGGGTGGACTCGCTGGACCGTCTCCTCATCCCCAGGCCTTGGAGCAGGAGGGCTGAAACCTCAGAAGCCAGGTGAGCCCCGCCATCCCGTCTGGGGTTCCATTGCAAACACTCATTCAGCAGCTAGGTTGGGGGGTGGCACATTCTGGGGAGGAGGGGCCAGAGGCAGACTGCCCCACTGAGAAATCTGGAGCTGGGGCATCCCAGAGAGAGGACCAGAGAGGGAACAGGCTCTGGAAGTGGCCGCGGGCCATGGTGGCAAGAGCCCGTGCTGAGAGCAGAGCGTGTGGCTGGTGAGGGGGTGTCAAGGAGCCCCCCTTCCTGGCTGCTTGGTGGGGGTGGGGGCGACACCGGCCGGGGGGACCCCAGGCAGGTGGGATGGCTTTCAGGCTCCACAGGGAGGCTGGACACCAGGACGAGGACCCACCCAGCTGGGGGGTCCTCTCCCATCCCCCCCAGGCCTTTGAGGGGCAGGATTGATGAGGGATTCAGAGGGGCTCGGAGAGAGCCTCTGAGACCCTGGTTTTGCCCGGGCTCTGTAGGGGGCCACTGGGGCTTGCCTGGTGGCTCAGATGATAAAGAATCCGCCTGCAATGCTGGAGACCTGTGTTCAATCTCTGGGTTGGGAAGATCCCCTGGAGGGGAAATGGCAACCCACTCCAGTATTCTTGCCTGGAGAACCCCATGGACAGAGGAGCCTGGTGGGCTACAGTCCATGGGGTCTAAAGAGTCCAAGGTGGACTGAGCGACTAACACTTTCCCCCCACCTTAGCCAGGGTCCCAATCTCCTTTCTCACCCCTCTTCCTCTGCAGGCCCCCCGGCTCAGAATGGCTATGGAGCAGGTACCGACGGGTTGGGAGAAGCCGGTGTCGGGGTGCTGGAGCTCCGGGGTGGTCCCTCACCTGCTCCCCATTTTCCTCCAGGCTTTGGAGGGGGTGTGAACACTCAGAAGCCAGGTGAGCCTCAGCCCCACCTGTCTCTGTCCCCCACCTGGAGTTTGCGGCCCCTTGCCCCCTCACTTCCACCTCCATCTGTCCCCCCAGGATTTGGGAATGGGAACGGCCTGGGAGCTCAGCCAGGTGAGAGTGGTGGGATCTGGAGGCTTCCACATGTCGGTGTCCTTTCCAGGCCTCATGAGGGCCGGGGAATGATTGAGGGGTGCTGGGAGGAAACCCCCAGGATTCCAGCCTTCTGGCTTGACTTCCACCTCAGCCGGACCCCAAATCCGCCCAGCTCACCCTTCCTCTCCCCACAGGCCCAGCAATACCGCAGGGATACGGAGCAGGTAGGAGCAGAGGGGGCCCTCAGGTGCCCGGGATGGGGACTCTGGGCCCTTCACCTGCTCCCATGTCTTCAGGCTTTGTGGGGAGCATGAAACCCCAGAAGCCAGGGGAGTCCTACCCTGGCCTAGTCTCTATCCATGGACCCCCAGAATCAGAGCGCCCCCACCCCCTGCCTCCTTACTCGGGGATCTGGGCATGGGCCTCCCCAGGGCAGGGGACCAGGGGGCAGGGGCTGGGCTCTGAGTAGAGGGCAGACGAGGCTGGCCTCTGAAGCCGGGGGAGGGGGAGACCCCCTGCCTCGTCTCCCTCCTGCTTTGAAGGGGTTCACCTTCAAACACTGCCCGCCGCCCCACTTTCCTCCCCAGGATATGGTAATGGGAACAGACTGGGAGCCAGGCCAGGTGAGGGCAGCTGGGCCCAGGGCCTCAGGGGGTGAGGAGGGAGCAGGGATGCGAGAGGTGGTGGCCACAGGGAAACTGAATGTTGGGGCCTGGGGGTCTGGCGAGGCCTAGAGGAGTCCATGTCAGCCCCCCTGCCTCCCCAGGCCTAGAGGGGGTGGGAGACCCCAGGCATCAGAGGAGAGGAGGACATCCTGGCCCTCCTGGGTCCCTCAGACCCATGACTCCACGGCCTGCTTCACAAGCGGAGGGTGTCCCGGGGGCACCAGGGACCCTGGGAGAGGAGGGGGCAATACCGAGGGGCCCCCGTGCTGGCCTCACCCCTCAGCCTCACGACTAGTCTCATCACCGCCCCCCCCACCCCCGCCCCGGCTCCGCACAGGCCCTGCAGCTGACAACGGCTATGGAGCAGGTAGGGGGGCCCTGCCCAGGGAGGCCGCGGCGGCCCGGGGGCCCGCACTCACTCTGTGTTTCTCACCAGGCCTGGTGGCCGGCATGAAGCCCCAGAAGCCAGGTGAGCCTGCCTTGGCCGCCTCTCCCCGTCTCCCCAAACCCTGAGCTTCCCTGCCTCCTTTCACACGCCCACCTCAATCTCCCCCCCGCCCCCCAGGATTTGGGAACGGCAACGGACTGGGCGTCCAGCCGGGTGAGACTGGTGGGCTCTGGGGTGGAGGTCTTGTGCCTGGGTATCCTCTCCTGCCTCCCTCCAGGCCTCTGAGGGTCAGGATGGGTGATGAGGTCCCCACCGGCCCCCCAGCTCAGAACTGGGGTTGGGAGAAGCTGGAGGCTGGGTGAAAAGGAGAGAGGAGGGGGCAGGGGCCTAGACCCTGCTCTGAGGCGCCCCTCCTGGGCTCCTTGGAGAGGGTGGCCTTGTAGCAGAGGAGGGGCCAAGTTTTCTGGTCCCTACACTGGGAGGAAGGGGGGCCCAGTTTCCAGCCTCCTGTGCACCTCAGCCTCTCCCCCCATCCTCACAGGACCTGCAGCTCCCGTCAGCTATGGCCCAGGTACAGGAGTGGGTGCTGGGGGCAGATGGTGGGATCGAGGCTCAGAGCGGGTCATGGTCCCTCACCTGCTCCCACCTCCTTCTTCTCCAGGAGTTGCTGAGGCCATGAAGCCTCAGAAGCCAGGTAAACCCTCCTTTTCTCTCTACCTGCCCTGTGATCATGTGATTCCTAAGAGGAAACAGGGCTCCCCAGGGGGTGCAGTGGTAAAGAACCCACCTACCAATGCAGGAGGCACAGGGGACATGAGTTTTGAGCCCTGGGTAGAGAAGGTCCGCTGGAGAAGGAAATGGCATCCCACTCTGGTATTCTTGCCTGGGAAATCCCTTGGACAGAGGAGCCTGGCGGCTACAGTCCATGGGATCACAAAGAGTTGGCTATGACTGAGCAAATAACAACACTGGGCTGATGACCCCGTGGAGGCGCTGGGAGTGGCATGCTCAGAGGGGACGGGAGAAGTTAAGTGCCTGCCTGTGTCTAGTCCCTGCTTTTCTATTATCTAATATTTTCTATTATCTAATAAGTAAGATGTCTCCCTGAGTTCTGTGAGCTGCTCTAACAAATTAATCAAACTCCTTCCCAAGGAGGGGGTTGTGGGAATCTCTGATCTTCAGCCAGCTGGTCAGAAGCACAGGTGACAACTTGGACGGGAACCTGGTGGCCAAAATGTGGGGTGGGGGGGTGGGGAGCAGTCTTCTCGGACTGAGCCCATGACTGTCATCTCCAGGTCGACCCTAGCGGGCTCGAGTCACACTGCAGGGCCCCTGGTGCAGTCTGAGAACCGCTCGGTGGCCCTGGGCTTGCTGTCAGGATCGGACCCCGCCTTCTCTCTACGCCCAGAGACCGGCTCCTCCCGCCCTTGCTCTTCCTGTAACCCCTGCTTCTGTCTCTCCAGTTTACAGGAATGGGCTGGGAGCTGGAGCCTTCCCAGGCCAAGGGGCCCAGCCAGGTGCGGGGCAGGGGCAGGCCTGGAGTTCCGGGGGGTGGGGAGGTGACCCCAGTGGGCGAAGAGCTGGGTCCTGGGGAAAAGGAGGGGTGGAGTGGGGTCCACGTCACTCAGCCTCTGCTGGTCTCCCCGCAGGCCTGGGAGGAAGCGTGAGCCCTCTGAAGCCAGGTGAGTTCATCCCCCTCTCCTCTGCCCCCTCTGAAGTCTCCAGGGCCCTGCCCTCATGCCCCCCGCTTCCTCCCAGGATACATGCCGCTGGGGAACGGGCCGCAGCTCCTCCCAGGTGAGTCTGGTGGGGGCCTGGGGTCGGGGGGAGCTCTCCTTCCTCAGGGAGGGCTGGTTGGGCCTGAGGTACCCTCTGTCTCCCCCACAGGTCTCGGAGTGGGTCTGAAACCTCAGAAGCCAGGTGAGCCCTCCCTTCCCTGTCCTGCACCTCCTCCTGCCTCTCCTTTCGGACCCCCCCACCCAATGCCCCTCACATCCGTTTTTCCTCTCCAGGATATGGCAACAGCAATGGGCTGGGGGCCCAGCCAGGTGAGGCAGGGGGGGAACAGAGGGAAGTGGGGGGATATTGCTGGATGATGGGGCGGGGTGGGCAACAACAGGAACCACAGCAGGCGGCTGAGTCCCTTTGTCCCCAGAGCAGACTGACCCATGGGAACTGGGCTTTTTATGACACGGCCACTGTCCCCACTGGCAGCACCTTTCTGCCCTAGAAGCCACTGAAGGCCGTGGCTTGACCAGGAGGAGGCCAGGAGGGCAGCCTGGAGGCGCCGCCGGCCTGGGTCACTGCCCTCTCCCTTCCTCCCCATCTAGGTCCCTGCAGTGGTGGGGTTCTTGCCAAGCCTGCCACTCCAGGGATCCCTTCTGATAAAGGGGGTGGCTGGGGCCTGAGATCCCAGCCCCCTTTCCCAGGGCAGGATGGCAAGTTCCCAGGTCAGTGCCGATTAGGAGGCCTGAGGGACCATGGTGGGTACTTAGTCCCAGGAGAAGCTGGGGTTGGCTGGGCCACTCAGAAGCCCCCAGGCCCGATCTCCAGGAAGTCAGTGAAGAAGAGCCTGAACTCTGGCCCTGAGACCCCGTGTGACTGCCAGTATGACGGCACCCCCAGGCCCCAGCCCTTCCCCCGTGGCTTCCTGAGGCCTTCCCCACCCGCCTCTCACTGGCTCACTCCTGTCCCCTGGCCTTCCTTCTAGTGCCTACTCCGGCCCTCCAGTGGGGACCGAAACCTCAGGAAGCAGGTTTGTGTCTGTCTGCTCCCTCTCCATGTCAGATTATGCCATTCCATCTCCCTTGTTCCCTGGCCCGCCTCAGGTGTTCAGGCACCTTAAGGCCAGGAAGTCCCTCTCTGAGTCTACCCTTGGCCTCTCATGCTGCTTTCTTACTTCATGTCTTTGGATTTCCTTTCCCTGGGGATGAGGAGAGCCCCTTCTGCCTCAGAGTCCCCAAGGTCCACACGCGGGCCCCAAGCAGTGAGGGCAAGCCGGGGTCCTCCCCACTCACCTCCATTCCCCTCACAGGGTACCAGCTCCAGAATGGCTACGGACCAGGAGCAGGACTGGGTGAGGAGGCCCTTCTGAGCTTCCCCTTCCCTCCCTCCCTTTCTCCTCCCCTGCCCCCACCTGCCCGGGAAGCCGAGGCTATCTCTGACCCAGCCTCCTCTCCCCCAGGCTTTGGTGGGGGCCTCAGGCCCCAGAAAGTCGGTGAGCCCCCTGGGCCCCCATGTTGGGCATGAGTTGCTCCCCCTCACGGCGAGCATGGCTTGTCTGTCTGTGTGTCTGTCTCTGTCTGTACTCACCGGGCTCTCGTGTACTAAGCGCTGGGCCACACGGACGGCGCGAGCCTGTGCGGTGGGTCCTGTCTCAGGTCAGAATAGAGTGACAACTGAGCAGGTGGGGAGGAGGTGCCCGGGGTGGGGGGAGGCATGGCTTCCTGAATCTGGGCTGTCCCCCTCAGCTGCCTGCAGGGGCAGGATTGTGGGAGGCCCTCTCTAGATTGCCTCTGAGTCAGTCTGTCTGTCTGCCCCTCCCTGTCTCTCCGTGAGCAGTTCACCCTGCCTCCCCCCCCACCGGCCCCCTGCAGCCCCCGCCCCTCCCCAACCAGCGCCCCTCCCACCGCTTTCCTGCAGGTTTGGGTTACAGCAACAGCGACGGCAACGGTGGTCTGGGAGCCGGGGTCTTCCCTGAGGCCCGCCCTCAGCCAGGTGCCTGGGGGAGCTGGGGAGGGGGGCTTTAGGCTTGCGGGTGCTCGTGTCTCTGACCTTGTCTTTCATCCTCCAGGGTTCCCGGGAGCCGATGGCTTTCTGAACGGTGAGTTGGACCCAGGTGACAGAGTGCAAGGGGGTGGGGAAAGGGCTGGTTCTCTCACGGTATGGGGAGGCCGCCCTCGTGCTCCCTAAAGTGGCCACTCCAGGCCCTGGAGGACATGGTAAGACACGCTGAGAGGGCAGAGGGGACCCTAGCAAGGGCGGTGGGGACCAGGCCAGGCAGGCGGGGGGTTTGAGAACCAGGAAGGAGTGGTGCATCCTGGACACCCAGCTCCAGTGGGCAGCGGTCCCAAGCTGGCTCTCCTCCTCCAGGTCAGGCTGGGGGCCTGAGGGGCTTTCCCTGGCCCTCCCTCGGGCCCTGGGGGGCTGCCTTGAAGCCTAGATACGGGGTTGGAGGCACATACCCAGAGGTCGGGAGTCAACCAGGTAATGGGCTGTGTGGAAGAGTGTTGCTGGGGGGTGGCTGCAGGGAACTGGGTTCTGGGCCCACCTCACTGCCCTGCAGAGAGGGAGGGGGGCACTTGTGGCAGTGGGCGTAGAGGTGGGCAGGAGGGACTCCGTATCCTCACCTCCATCCCTCCCCCAGGGCCCTATGGGCAGCTGAGGCCAGAGCTGGGCCCTGGGCCCTTGGGTGAGTAGGGGTCTCCCAGGGCCTTGGGTAAAGCTGGGGGTGAGCAGAAGGACTTCGAAGTCCTCTGCTGACCTGGGTGCCCTGGCTTGTCTGTGTGCCTTAGGAGGCCCTGAGGTGAAGAGAGGCAGCAATGGCCCGCTGGGAAATGGCTTTGGAGGTGAGAGGGAACTCAGTGCCCCGCCCCCAGCCGCCCCATGCCACCATCATCACCCCTCCGGGCTGCACTGGGGGCAACCCCGACCCGTGGGACAGACAGAGAGTGGCTCTCAGGCCACCTGTGGGTGCCTGGTGGGTGGCTGGTCCCAGGTAGAGGGCCCGTGTCCCCCAGGAGGTGAACAGGGGCCAGCACTCAGCTGGGCCCTGCTCTGCCTCTGCCCAGGCCGCTGACTGCTTGGGAAATGCTGAGCACCCGAGCACTCCCACTGCCCGTCCTGAGCGCCTCTGCACGCGAGCCTGGTCTTCAGGCAAGGTCGGCCAGACCCTCCGGCTTGGCCTCTGGCCTGGGGTCTCCTGCAGGCTGGAAGTCTCAATAAAGGCAGTGTGCTTCCCTGTTTGCCTCTGTGTGCTGTGTGGAGGGGATCACCAGCTGGGCTGGGGGACCGCCTGGGCCTGCAGCCTCCACCCAGCACCTTATTCATTCCTTCAACAAACATCAACACAGCTGTGTGCCAGGGGCTGTGCTCCAGATGGGAGCCGCATGAGCACAGAACAAACTCAGGCCTGCTCTCGGGGACGACACGTGCTCACAATGTAGAGATGGAGCCATGTCCAGGTTAGGGGACTTGTGCACTACACACTGCGTGCATGCTCAGTTGAGTCAACTGTGTCCCACTCTTTGTGACCCCTTGGACTGTAACCAGCCAGGCTCCTCTGTCCATGGGATTCTCCAGGCAAGAATACTGGAGTGGGTTGCCATTTCCTCCTCCAGGGGATCTTCCCAACCCAGGGATCAAACCGCATCTCCTGCATTGCAGATGGATTCTTTACCCACTGAGCCACCTGGGTAGCCCACATTATACATTGCTTGTGTTTTAATTGATAATTAACTTATTAAAATGATCCACTAAAAATTTCATTTTTCTTAAGCCTTTATACTTGCTTCCAGATATCATTGTATTGATTCATCTTATAATTTGGATGTAAAACTCACTTTCACATTCTTAAATTAATACTCAGTTAGATTATAAATTTGTCAGATCAGCGTCTCCCTAAATATTTAGCATGCTTTACAAGCCTGATACTCAATTCCCTTAGACATTTCAAATAATTATGCACATAATCTACTTGATCTCTTAACAGGGTTGGGGTGTGTGTGTGTACAAATCCAACCAGCAACTTTCTTCCTAAGCACTTAAGGGGTTCTTGGAAATCAGTCAGACGTTTACTATCTCAGATTACTGAACACTTTCAAACATTTTAAAAAGCTAGTTACTAATCCAGTATCAGTAATCAGTGCTACTGGATTGCTTCCTTTCCTCATCCCATGATTATAAATTTAATCACCCAGAAATGTGGAAGTGAATTTATTCTCCTAGGCTGGGTCCAGACTGGAGGTTGCACAACTGAGGTTTGATCTGCTCTTCTGAAATTTGACCTGGGGCTTAGATGGTCCCAGAACCAGTATCCTTAAGTCTCTGTTCTGAGCTATGCCTCCCCGAATCTATACCTCTTGCAATCTGGTGAAGTTTTACCTTAACTGAAGAATTTGAGTTGAATAGAGTTGATAGGATTTGCCACCCAGGGAGGAACTCAGATTGTTTTTCTATGGAGTGATTTAAGATAACAGATACAGACCAAAACCTGACTGCAGTATGCACAAGCTTGAGGAGGTTGTGTAAACATTATTGGAATTCCAGCCTGATATCTCTTAGCCTACCTCATTTAATTTGCTCTATTTGAGAATCATCATAGGCTTTTGCTTTTTCATAAAAATATTGATTCTTTGGGCTTCCCTCAAAGAAGCTCAGTCGGTAAAGAGTCTGACTGCAATGCAGGAGACCTAGGTTTGATCCCTGGGTCAGGAAGAGCCTCTGGAGGAGGAAATGGCAACCTGCTCCAGTATTTTTGCCTGGAGAATCCCATGGACAGAGGAGCCTGGCAGGCTGCAGTCTATGGGGTCACAGGAGTCGAATGTAACTGAGCGACTAAGAACACATTGGTTCTTAAAATCTCATTGCGTGGACTTTCCTAGGACTACAGTGGGTAAGAATCCACCACCAGTGCAGGGGGTGCGGGTTGAATCCCTGGCCAAGGAATATTCCACATGCCATAGAGCAACAAAGCCCACGTGCCACGACTACTGAAGCCTGCTCCAAACCTGTGCACCGCAAGGAAGAGTAGCCCAACTCTAGTGCAATTAGAGAAAGATTGCATGCAGCAACAGAGACCCAGTGAAACAAAAAATAAATAGAATTATTTTTAAAAAGTCACTTTGGGATCACCTCACATCAAGCAACAGTCTGAACTGGTGTAAAAAACAAAGTGAAATTAGGGAAAAACAAATCATCTTGTGTTTCTCTGCCCTGAGATGTGGAACAAACCACATCATCTCTACTAGAGAACAGGATTAAGAGCAACATCTGGGTAGAGGGGCCACTCAGCACGGTCTCAGAGAGGGCAGTGGGTGCTATCCTTTCTAACCAATCTAGACATGTTCTAATAATTTATTGTTGTGGTTTTATTTGTTTATTTTTGGCTGGGCTGGGTCATCTTTGTTGCAAATGGGCTTTCTCTACTTGTGGCAAGCAGGAGCTACTCTCTGGTTGTGGTGTGTGGTTTCTTGTTGAGGTGGCTTCTCTCACTGTGGAGCCCTGGATCTAGGGTGTGGGCTTCAGTAGTTGTGTCCTGAGGGAGCGAACCAGAGTCCCCTCCATTGACAGGCAAATAACCACTGGACCACCAGGGAAGACCCTAATATTGTTGTGTGTGTGTGTTTTTTTTCCAAATATTGTTTTAATAAAGATTTCTGTATTCTGACTTCGGGCTCCCCAGGTGGTGCAGTGGTAAAGAATCGGCCTGCCTGGCAGGAGTTACAAGAGATGTGGGTTTGATCCCTCGATCGGGAAGATCACCCGGAGATGGAAATGGCAGCCCACTCCAGTATTCTTGCCTGGAAAATTCCATGGACAGAGGAGCCTGGTGGCCTACAGCCCTGTAGATTTCAAGGAGTCAGACACGACTGAGCACCAGCACCAACCTGGTTCCTGGCTGCCTCTTGAACTTCATATTCCGACTTTAAATAGATCGACCATTTTTCCTTTTGTCACCCACTTGTCTTTTATAACCATTCTTAACGTCACCGCAAATGCTACATGTCAAGCTTTGCTATTGAGTTGGTATCTTTTCATCTCTTCTCTGGGCTTCCCTGGTGACTCAAATGGTAAAGAATCTGCCGCAATGTAGCAGACCCGGTTTAGACCCCTGGGTCGGGAAGATCCCCTGGAGAAGAGAATGAGAACCCACTCCAGTATACTTTCCTGGAATTCTTTCCTGGAGAATTCCATGGCCAGAGAAACCTGGGGGACCACAATCCATGGGGTCGCAGAGTCGGACACGACTGAATGACTAGCACACACATGTGCATGCACAGATCACTGGATGGGGATCACTTCATGGATCTTGACCCACAAAGAGCATCTCTTAAGGACAAATCCCAAAAAAGGCGATCCATAAGCTCTCTTCTAGGGCTGTCACAGGGCAAGGAGGGCTGGGTGGGGGCGTCGAAGCAGGGGAGATGCAGCGGCTAAGTGGACGCTCAGGCCAGTTGGGGGCGCCCACTGAACATGCAGTGTCTGTTCTCAGGGATAGTGGGGATGGAGCCTGTGGCACCTCGGAGCACTATGATTGGCTGGGGCTGAGGAAGGGGCGGGAAGAAGGATTGACAGAGAGCGCTACTGCCTCTGATTGGCTGTTAGGGATAGCTCCTGACAGCCGGCGGGAGAAATGGATAGGTCGCCGGCGCATTGGCCTTTGATTGGCTGGAGCGAGGCAGCGCACGACTCCGATTGGCTGGGGCTCTTAGAGCGACGCGCGGCCACCTGCTGGAGGGACAAGGCCTCCGCAAGCTGCGCGCGAGGGGCCCTGGCGCTGCAGCTGTGGCCAAGCTGGCTGCCCAGCTTCCCCGCTCCCGCTCGCATCCGCGGCTGGCCCGCGCCCGCGTCCACTCGCGGCTGGGCTGGTCCCGCGTATCGCTGTCCCTGACCCCGCCGCCCGCGCCGTCCCTGCCGCACCCGCCTTTGCCGGGACTCCCACCGGGCCTGAGCCCTGCGCCGCCGCCGCCGCCCTCGGCGCTCGCGCTGGCCGAACTGCCGCCGCTGCCTGCACTCCCGCTGCGGCCAGCGCCGCCGGCTCCCTGGGGCCCAGGCGCCCACGTGGCGCTGCCGGAGCTGCCGCCTGAGGCCTGCGTGCCCGCGCCACCTGCCGCCGCGCTCGCCCTGCAGGACCTGCCGCGGCTCCCCGCGCCCGCGCCGCCGCCCGCGCACCTGCCACTGCCGCCGCTGCCAGAGGCCGCGGTCGCCGCCACTCCCGGTCCTGTGGGCGCGCGCGGCCGCCCGCCCCTCATCGCCGAGTCGCCCCCGCAGCCGCTGCCGCCGCTGCCTGCACGGCCCTCGCCCTTCAACCTGCTGGCGCCCCCAGTGCCTCGAGACCCCTGGCCACTGCCTGCCTTCCCCCCGCCGCTGCTGCCGCCGCCGCCCCCGCC